ATACCAAGTATGGTAATTCTAGCTCTAGTACCTGCAGAGATCCTTGCGCTCGTCCAGACGGCCAGACAGACGGACATGGCTATGTCGACACTACTTGTCACCCTGATCAATAATATATATGTATACTTTGTGGGGTCTGCCACGCCTCCTTCTGCTTGTTACATACACACAAACTAGTATAGCCTTTTACCATTTAGGTACAGACTATAAAAATATGGGTATTTAAAAAATAAAATGATTGATTACATATTTAAAATATGTATATTTCATGGTTATTTTAGCAAACAGACATTACAAGGCATTTCATTATTTTAACAAAACTAATTATAATTTTCTTTCCACTGTTTCAGATTGTTACAAACTGTTATTTTGAATTGAACGCATACATAAACTTGTACTAAATAACTAATAAAATATTTTAGATTTTGAAAACTATTTAAAAAAAAACAAACAAAAAAGCGGTCACACTGAATGTTAGTTCCAATTAGGGATGGATATCGACAAGAAAATTCCGATATTTATATCGGACTAAATATCTCAGAGACCATCATATCGAAAATGTCAAGCATCGGCGATTTGAGTCGAGTCGGTTAAAATTCAGGTGCGAGCCGTATGGCTCCAAGAATGAACAGAAAACTAAGTTGAGAAAATCTAACGGTGCGGTAGAAGTGGTATTTTGTCATCTTCGCACAATCCACTAAATTGCGGGGAGCGCGGAGGAATGAACTTCCATTCTCTTTGTCGATCAGACAAAACTACTGAGAAACAATCTGCTCAATGCAGCGAGCTCGTTTTAGCGCCAACAAAATTCGTTGCATTGTCCGACCCAATGCAGTCTGGCCGACCACGAGTCATGATGAACCGCTTCAGTGTAGCCAAAAATGTATGTCTGGACAAATCATTCAATATTCATACGTAACATTTTTGTGAAGGATTGTTACGACCATCAGGCTTGTAAAGAATGGGCCACAGTAATCCACTCCTGTGATCGCAAAGGCGTAGGATGGGCTTACTCGCTCCTCTGCATTATGTGCTCTAGGAGCCGGGGCTTAGCCCGAAAACATCTGACGCATTTCCTTATGACATTTTGAACCTTTTAGCAATAGCAGAAACTCTGGCCCCTGAAACCAAAGCTTAGAAGCGATGAGTTCGCCAGCTAGCGCTCCTCTAGAGAGTACATCGACAGGGTTCAGCGAAGTCGGAACATAGTGCCAGTTCATGCCCTCTGTGTGCTCCTGAATAGACGCCACGCGATTTGCAACAAGCACGTTAAATGTTTATGTCTCGCTCCTGATCTATGACGATGCTACAGTAATAAGACCAAGTTGATCGTAGAAACGAACTATTGTCGAGAGAACCGAACGAGGACCAGTGGCCACGCCGAAGCTCAACGGCTACCCTAAGAGAGGACTACAGCGAGTGCAAAGTTCAGACAGTGGCGGCGTCGATTACTTATGACGAGCATTGGATGTACAGGATGAACCACGGGAACTCGTTTAGGACGGCGCAAATAATAGTCGCTTGCGTACATCGGTTCAAAGACAGAACACGAAAATTGCCCGAAGGCCGATACCCTTCACCCAGCTTGACTCCAGAAGACATACAGAGAGCAACCAAAACCATAGTACGGACTGTTCAGGCGTTATGTTTTGCGCCAGAGATAGCTCATCTCACCCAAAAAAGGGACCTCCCTGCCAATTGTCGCCTCAAAGGACTGCCACCGCTCCTTGATCACGACACGATAGTCCGAGTTGGAGGCCGATTGACAGCCACATTTTTAGCGTTTGACTCCAAAAATCCCATTCTGCTACCGCCCAAAGATGGGCTGGTCAGACTTATATTAAGGCACTTACACGCACGTGGAATATGCACACTGCGGATCGCAGGCTCTGCTACCCCAGATCCGACAACGGTATTGTATAATACACGGAACGAGCGAAGCGCAGCAGAAGGTACACAGCTGTCCAACATGTTGCCGAGCAAGACCCAGGTTATTCCAGCAGATCATGGGCCATCTGCCATCCCCCAGGGTAACACCCAGCCGCCCATTTTTAACGCCGGAGTGGACTACTACTCCATTACAAGTTTTTTGTAGGATGAGATCTTCTCGCAGGACGCACAAGGAAGAATTCTGAGCCGCTGCGCCGAGAAAGGCACCTTATTTTGGTGGGCTGTGGGAAGCTGCTATAAAGGCAACTAAAAACCTGATACTCAAGGCGACCAAATCAGCTGTGTTAACTCATGAATAACTTGGAACGGTCGTAATAGAGATCGACGCCATTCTGAACTCCAGGTCACTCAGTCCATCATTTTCCAACCCAAATGACTTCATGGCACTCACGGCGGGCCACTTCCTCATTGGGGATCCACTAACGTCCATGCCAGCACAAGAAGACCATAAGGCAGCGATGGCTCTTTATTTTTTATTTATTTTATTTATTTTTCATCGAAAGACAATGCAGTCGATGTACAAAAAAAGAAATCAACACAATAGCGAACATAAACTAAGTAAAACTACAGAAATAAAAAAGCCAATTAAAATGACAAAAATATCTAATAACGAATCCGACACGGTGGGGGAATTTTATTTTCCAAACGGCCAGCTATGCCCCGATTCACAGCAGAGATTAGTCAGATACGTTATTAGACCTAACAAAAAAGAAGTGGAGATGAAAAAATATAGCAATAAAAGATAGAAGAAAACAAATTAAAATACTTAAATAATAAAATATAAAATATAATTAAAAATTAAAGGTGAAGAATCACTGACCCGTTGGGGGGAAATTTATTAGGTAGTCCGGCAAGCTATGCCCCTACTCACAGCAGTGGTGATCAGTGATTCTGCCGGAGGTAGCTGAAAATAGAAGATTTTATTGAGGGGAGAGAAGTTCACTTGAGATTAAAAAGTAAAAAGTATTAATAATAATACTCGAAAACGATTGTGCATGGCGTAATCATTAGTGCATATGTTAAGTTGAAGAGGCAGAAAGTTCCATGTTGGCCTAGAAGGAACCGAAAAATTAATACGACCTAAAAGCATAGAGGAATCAACATCTCCGACAATCAATTTGTGGAGGAACAGAACACCAAGAACTATTCTACGGTGAGCTAAAGAAGGCAGGTTAATAAGGAGAAGTCTACTGGAGTAGGAAGGTAATCGTAGATTAAGATCCAAGTTTAGACCACGAAGAGCAAAAAGAAGAAATTGTTTCCAGATACAATTTATACTGAGGACACCAAACACATGAGCAGTATTCTAGCACTGGCCGTACTAGAGAACTGTACAGTAACTTGGTGGTGTAGGGGTTCTCTGGACCAACGTTTAATAAAACCAAGAACACCCTTAGCTTCGTTAACGATAGTGGAGATGTGAAGATTTAAATTCAATTTGTGATCAAAAAGAACTCCAAGATCTTCAACTGGAAATATAACATAAGCACCTTGATATGACCTGGAACGATGAAAAGTCATAAACTTGCATTTAGAACAGTTAAGGTACAGGTAGTTGACCAAGCACCACCATTGAAAACAGCTTAGATCGTACTGCAGGCGAGAATGATAAAGAGGAAATACGAAAAAATTAGCTTCACATCATCGGCATACATTAGTATGCGGGAATGCAGCTGGATAGACGGAAGGTCATTAATAAATAGAGTGAATAATAGGGGGACCTTGAAGTACACCAGATGTTACGAGAACAGGTTTAGAAATATTTGACCTGAGTAGTACCTTCTGTGTCCTATTTTTTAGGTACGAGGAAATCCATTTCAAAAAGTGTGAGGGAAATCCCATACAAGTTAGCTTCAAGAGGAGGAGGTCGAGATTCACAGAATCAAATGCTTTGCTGAAGTCAGTATATATAATATCAGCTTGCATCTCTGCTAGGAATGCATCATTTATCAAAGATGTAAATTTAAGCAGATTAGTCGTTGCAAAATCCATGAGCAAAGGAGATTACAGACTTACAATGATTACAGCATCATTGTATATTAGATAAAATACAAGAATCTGTAATTATTGGAGCAAATATAGAATTTGAAGGCATAATGCGGAAGGGGTAAGAATTACCGTTAAAATACTCGGAGGAGTACGTCGACTAAAAAAATTTGCTAATAATTCAGCACTTACAGAATCATTACAAGAATTGTTATTCGCAAGGAAAAATTACGATGGCAAACGAAGGAGGGCTTATCAGCGGATAAAGCAGGAGTTTTGGAGCAGATGGTCCAAAGAATACTTATTAGAGCTCCAGTTCCGACAATAGTGGACGCAAGCATGGAACAACATCAACCCCGGGGACCTAATTATTGTACGCGAAGACAATGTTCCGCCGCTGCAATGGCCAATGGCCAGGGTTAGAGAGGTCAACCCAGGGGCCGACAGGCAAACATCAAAACTGCAAAAGGAATGTGCCGGAGGCCTATCCATTGGCTCGCACCTTTAACCACGGAACCGATGGAGCTCGCAACCACCCGACCAGCCGCGCGGCGTCGAGTAACCGCGTCAACGGTACCTATTACACTCCTCCTTGTCGGATTAGCACTAGTGCCGAAAACAGCCGCTAGTCCACAGAAAATAAACATCACCCAGCTATCAAACGTCCCAGGCATATACTTCGAGGTGGTCTCCTCTACCGTTATCGCAATGTCGACGTGAAAGGCGGACGGGTATCATCTAAAAGAGGTCTTACGAAATCAGACCTCCGTCATCGACAGCACTATAAACATTGTGCAAAGAAATGAAGAAGTCAACGCCAGCAGACTGCGAGCATTGCGGGCACAAATTAACACCATTGAAAATCAAATCGGAAAGCGAGAATCGATGGACTGGCAATTCACAAGCATACACAGCTAACTCTTTTGTTGACAACAATCCGGCGAATAGAAGATATGATTTTTGACGCCAGACACGGGAAGCTAAGTTCGCTGTTGTTATCGCTATGGCAGCTGCTTCAAGAGTTGGAAATAATAAAAGCGAATCTACCCCCAAGGACGGCGTCAATGACACACGAGGACAGCATTCAAGAACTGTACCAGCTAATGTCAACAAAAACAACATGGACCGATGCAAATCTCATCTTCGCCATCACCCTTCCACTTGTTGACGAGGAGCAATTCATGGCGTACAAGATGACACCAAATCCATTCCGAAATTCGGACAATCAGTTGAAAAGCGTCACCAGCGAAGCCGACTTCCTTGTGATCAACGACCATCGAGACAGGTTCTTTACGCTCAACACGCTGCAAATGGCGAAATGCTATCGGCTGAACAGCAACGTTTTAGTCTGCCCAAAGCAGCATATGACGTTTTCCTCCGAAGCACCTATGTGGAGATGTTATCTGAACTTGTTCCTGAACCAGGGTGGGACCCAATGCCCACAATGCTCGGCAACATGGATTCCGTTACACGCGCCGAATACTTGGCTGTTCGCCACAAAAGAGACAGCCAACTTAACAGCGGTATGTGAAACGTATATAAGGAAACTGTTTCTATACGACACGGCCATCCTGGAAGTTGCCCCCACGTGTTCACTAATGGACAGTCAATACTCACTCACAGCGCATCCCACGGTGGCGTCTCAAATACTGGAAGCATACCCAGCATTCGGCAATATAAAAACAGAGACATATGAAACGCAGGAAGCCAGGATCACTCCAAAAAGCGGAGCAGGATCCAATGCAGAATAGTTCACCGAACTACATAGGCAGCTGCAACTATTGAGACTTGAAGACAACGTCAGAGAGGCCCTCAACAGCTTTCCAGCTTTCCGGAATCTAAAGCGGAGAAACAATTCTTTCAACAAAACATGCAGCTATTCCTATCATACCATCGCAATCAAATAAGTCGAGTGTACCCGAAGGGACAGCGTCTGGACTCATCCAATTTTAATCCAGTACCATTCTGGAACATCGGATCTCAGATGATAGCACTCAACTATCAGACTGGTGACAAGGCCATGCAATTGAATCAGTCGAAATTCCGCAATAATGGACAATGTGGTTATATATTAAAGCCGGCCTTCATGATGCTGGATAGCTTTAATCCCAATAACCCATTATCGGATGGACTTAATGAAATTAAAGTCTCGATACGCATTATTGCCGCCCGACATCTATTTCGTGGTGGAAAATCGAACAATCCACAGATTGTGGTGGAAATTTGCGGCGCCTCGTTCGATAGTGGTATCAAATATCGCACTAAAGTAAACGAGAATGGTTTCCATCCCATATGGAACGAATCCTGTGAGTTCATCGTGCGCAATCCCCAGCTGGCTTTGCTAAGATTTGAGGTCCAGGACGAGGATATGTTTGCCGAAACGCATTTCATAGCGCAGGCTTGCTATCCTTTAAATTGCGTACGCCAAGGCTATCGCAGTGTTATCCTGCGCAACAAATTTAGCGAAGAGCTTGAGCTCTCTTCCCTGCTTATCCATTTAAATACTGTAAATGTTTCATAATTAAGGCAAAGATTTGATTCTAAACAAACTTACGTACAAAATGAATATATCAATGAAATGAAAAGGATTGCGCATTTCCATGACAAATGTCATGGCTGCATATAAGCATTCCTAGAATCGATGTACTAAACAAATTTTTAAATGTGCTTCCATAACATTGTATGTATGTGTATCTATTTATGTATGACCATTTATTTATTATTCTTTAAAGTGCCTACATATGTATGTACTATGGACTTCTTTACTGAGATTTATGACTTGCATTTTTATACTTCACTACCTGCATATGTATACATATATATTTATATATATAAGTATGCACCCAAGTACAATATATTGTGTGTATTGTAACGACGCGTTGCATAGCGGGCAGCCGCGCGTCATTACGAGTAGTTATAAGCATAAGTAACTTTAAGTACAGTAAGCCATGAAGGCAAGTAATTTTAAGTTCTTTCTAAGTTTAGTTAGTTCTCTGCTTTCGGCCCACACGCACTGAAGCGCGGGCAGTTTGAGTTTTGATTTTTGTTAGATTAAAGAAACACGTGGAGAAGTTTTGGCATACCGCCTCTCTTTTATTTGTTGGACAACTCGGCACTTTGGGGTGCCTTATTTATATTAGCATACTCTGGCCGGCGAGCATACCCGCGGCAGAGTAACAACGTTACAAGTGGCGCCCGAGCAGGGACCCCAAAGAAGTTTGAGGTTAGATCCGACCAAGTAGGGAAGAGAGCGTGGACCTACAATGCTACGAACGAGCTGGATACGTGTGCTGCGGAAGGAAGAGCTCAGCACGGTGCTGCGCGAGTTCGACATCGAGGAGACCGGCACCGTGGAGGCGTTGCGGGTACGGCTGGCAACGTTCGTGAAGTCGGCCCAAGAAGAGTACCGACCCCGCCTTGAAGAACTAGCGGCATATTACGAGAACGTGTCGTCGCGTACCGCGGCGACAGGTCAGTTGAGCCCGGTGCCCGGCGGACGGCTGGGAGTCCCGAAACAAGAGGACGTACCGGAGGGGCTGCTCGTCGTGACAGAGGCAAACACGACACCGCTAACTCCTGCGACAGTGCCGACCATCTCGGTAGCGGTCGCGGCCTCGCCGGGAGCTACCACAACCGAGCCCACGGCAGCCTCAGCGACGCCAACAGTGGCTCCAGTGCTCTCAACGGCGGACCTGACACAAGCGATTGCCGAGTTGGCTCAGTACACCCACCGGTTGGCCCAGGCTATGGAGGATGGTTTCCAGAAGCTGTCGAGCCAGGTCTGCGGTTCCACCGCGCCTGCTGGTAATGTGCCTGACGAAGATGACCCAACAGCACCGACTCCAGCGTCACCGCTCGCAAGCGTGCAGGCGGTGGCAGAACCACAGGCGCCAACATCAGCCGTGTCAACCGCATCCGCGGCTGGTTCGGCCCACTCGACAATGTCACGAGCGGAGCGGAGAGCCCTGAGCACGGAGGTGGCACAGTGGGGAGTACGTTTCGACGGCAGCGGGGACCCAAGAACGTTCCTCCGGGACCTGGAAGATAAGGCAGAGATAAGGAACGTGCGATTAGATGAGTTGGTGACCGTGTTACCGGAAATCCTGGTTGGCGAGGCGAAGGAGTGGGAGTGGTCAAGGCGCAATTTGGTACAACGGTGGGCCGAGTTCCGCCAAGACCTACTAAAAGAATATCCAGCGGGTCCCCACATAGAAGAGCGCCGGCGGGAAGCATACAGCCGGGTCCAGGGCGCATCAGAGAGCCCTATCGAGTATGTCCGAGCGATGCAACGACTGATGCGCGGCGCGGGGATGACTGCAGAGGAGCAGCTGAGACTTGTCCACGCCAACGGGCTACCAGAAATACGCGCCAATCTCCGCCTGGCAGGCGAAGAAGTGAGCTCACTCGATGGGTACGTACAGGCGGCACAGGGCGTGCACCAAGCAATCTTAGCACGGTCACAGGCGGCCGGCAATGATGAGACGAACGCCACACACCCTACGCCGATCCCACAGCCGGTGGCGGTTGGCCCAGCGGACACGTATCGCCGCCCACCCATCTGCAGACGTTGCGGGATGGGAGGGCACAGTACGGACGCGTGCCCAAACTCTCAACAGCTCTACTGTTGGGACTGTGGTAAGATGGGGGTGCGTGCGAACGAATGCTGCCGACGCGCAGTGATCAACCAAGAAGTCGACGAATTGCTGGCAAAGGGCTGCATCGAGCAATCCGACAGTGCCTACAGCGCACCCATCGTGTTGGTGCGCAAGAAGACAGGCGCCTGGAGGATGTGCATCGACTATCGGCAGCTGAACGAACGCTCAGAACCAGATGCGTACCCAATTCCGCGGATCCAGCACATTTTGGAGCAGCTGCGCCAGGCCAAATACATAAGTAGCATCGATTTGCGGAATGCGTACTGGCAGATTCCGATGGAGCGCGAAAGCCAGCGATATACAGCGTTCACGGTGCCAGGACGCGGGCTGTTCCAGTGGCGTGTGATGCCGTTCGGCCTGCATTCTGCGCCCGCAACATTCCAGAGGGCGTTGGACAGCGTCATTGGCCCAGACATGGCACCGCACGCGTTTGCATACCTCGACGACATAGTGGTGGTCGGTAGGACGTTCGAGGAACACTTGAGCAATTTGCGCGAGGTGTTCCGGCGACTGCGAGCGGCCAATCTGCGAATAAATCGAGATAAGTGGGAATTCTTTCGTAAATCCATTAGGTACCTGGGGCACCTGGTGACGGAGGCGGGCATCCAAACGGATCCGGAGAAGGTAGCAGCCATCCACGAGCTGAAGCCGCCATCAAATCTAAAACAATTGCGGCAGTACATTGGAATGGCCTCGTGGTATCGACGCTTCATACCAAATTTCGCCACAACGGTTGGGCCCCTTACCGAACTGTTGAAGAAGGGCCACAAGTGGAGTTGGGGAAAGCAGCAGCAGGAGGCATTCCAGTGTATCCAGAAGCAGCTGATGGAAGCTCCGGTGTTGGCGTGCCCCGATTTCTCTCGACGTTTCTGCCTACAGACGGACGCCAGCGAGTATGGGCTGGGCGCGGTTCTGACGCAAGACATAGACGGCCACGAACACGTAATTTCCTACGCCAGTAGGAAGCTGCAGAAAGCGGAGGTCAACTACAGCGCCACGGAGAAGGAGTGCCTCGCAATTGTGTGGGGAATCCGAAAACTGCGACACTATTTGGAAGGCTACCATTTCACTGTCGTGACTGATCACTTGGCGTTGCGTTGGCTCAACTCGATTGAGAGCCCCACCGGCCGCATCGCACGCTGGGCTTTGGAGCTGCAGCAGTACACCTTCGATGTCCAGTACCGAAAAGGAGCCTTGAATGTGGTGGCCGACGCACTGTCACGACAACCACGCGAGGTGGTCGGCCGTGCACACGTGGAGTCAGAGGCAGCACCAACTTGTAAATGGTTACAGCGGCTGACGGCAGCGGTGTTGGAGAGTCCCAGCAAGTACCCAGATTACGCCATACAGAACGACAGGTTGTACCGCCGCATCGCTCACGTGCTAGGAGAAGATGAGGTGTCACCATGGAGGCTATGCGTGGCCGCGCCTCTACGACTGGAGGTGTTGAGAGAATGCCACGACGACGCAACAGCGGGCCATATGGGAGTACGCCGAACCTGTGCACGCGTTGCAGACCGATACCACTTGCCTGGTCTGTATCGCGACGTAGCGAAGTATGTGCACCAGTGCCTGTTGTGCCAACGCTATAAAGCCCAGCAACAGCTGACGGCAGGCAAGATGCGCTTCAAACCAGCGGAGGCAGCGTGGGACGTCGTCTGCGCCGATTTTGTGGGGCCGCTGCCGCGGTCCAAGCGGGGCAACGCGTATCTACTGGTCCTGGTCGATAAGTTCAGTAAATGGGCAGAACTGGTCCCCATCCGCAAGGCGACGGCAGCGGCAGTGAAGCTGGCCTTGCGAGAGCGGATTCTGGCACGGTTTGGCACACCAAGGAAGCTCATTACAGACAACGGAGCCCAGTTTACGAGCCGCGCACTGAAGCAGTTCCTCGCCGAGGCAGGCATCCAGCAACAACTGACGGCACCATACACACCTCAGGAGAATCCCACTGAGCGGACCAATAGAACGGTCAAAACATTGATGGCCCAGCTGGCGGACGGGCAGCACAACACGTGGGACGAACAACTGCCGGAAGCACAATTGGCCATTAATACAGCAATTTCAGACGCAACGGGCTACTCACCGGCTTTCATCCTATTTGGAAGAGAACCACGGCACCCACACACACTGTACGGCAGGGATCCTGATGCCCCTGAGGCAGCACCAGGTAGCCCAGAAACACACGCGACGCTGCTACAGTTTGTTGCCCGCATAGCAAGAAGAAACCAAGGGGTGGCCAGCGAGGATCAGGCACGCCAGTACAATCTGCGGAGACGCGAGTGGCGACCCAAACTGGGCGACGAGGTGCTCGTGCGACAACATCACCTGTCCAACGCAGCCGAGCAGTTTGCGGCCAAGCTGGCGCCTCGCTTCGATGGACCATTCACAGTGCGGGCATTCATATCCCCTGTTATAGTGCGTGTGCGACCAGTAGCGGGCGGCAGAGGTAGAACGGCACACGTGCGGGATCTGAAAGCGGTGAATGCAGAAGACAGCGAAGCCGACAGAGGCAGCGTTAGCATGGTCACTGGGACCACGCCACCGACAGCTTCACAGCAGCCACAACACCAATCTCCGCAGACGCAGCGGCAGTCCGGGCAACTAGATCGGCCATGTCAACGAACACGACGAAGGCAGCCGTGGTCGCAACAGCCGCACAACAGCCAAGACAGCAGTTACAGCAGCCAGGGCCCTATTGGTCACACAGACAGCAACAACAGCAGTGCAACGGGCGTCCACTTAAGCGGGAGCGGCAAAGTGGCCGTTCTGGCCGAGGAGGACACCCATGTGAGCATAAGACATAACTAGACAAAACTTTCTGTTACGTTTCAGGCCTGAAATAGCCCAGGACCGGAAATCAAGCATAATATAAACATGTGGGCGGT